CTGCGCAGCCTCACAGCAGTTCCTGAACAACAATCCTCCATGATGGGCACCAAAGGGAGCAGCAGCCATCACACACACAGTTATCAGGTCCTCCTCTTATCGATTCCTCTCACAGAGGTATTTACGCTGAGAAGAGAAATACAGTTATTGTCGACAGGGCAGTGGGTGTATTTATCTCCTCCAACCGGCCCACGGTTGTCTTTAACCGCCTTGACCCGGGAGAGCAGCGGCGACACAGAGCGAGCTAATGATCCTGGAGAGCTCCATCAGGGGCATTAACAGCATCAGTTTCTGGAATGTCTTGCTTTTGTTTTTTTATTTGTTTCTGTGATTTTTATGAGTTATGGGATAGAAGGTAAATTTGTCCCAAAGCAACACATATTATATCTGACAGCTGTATGCATTAATAAGAGAGCTGAAGCAGACATTTACAACTAACTCCATTGTAAATCATTTATTTTATAGAAAATGTTCTTGTTTCTAGGAAATTACTCCCTTTTTTTGTCTAAAAAGAAAAATAATCTTTTTTAAAGCATGTTCTGCATTAAGTGATCTGTTTTTTTAGTTTTGTTTGTCAACTTAAGTTTATTTAGTTTTTCATTGTTTAAATAAAAAATGATAAGAAAATAAGAATGTTTCTGGTTCCTTCATTTAAGTCACCTATTTTTATTATGCTGTATATATATATGTGTGTGTGTGTGTGTGTGTGTGTGTGTGTTTTCGTGCTGTGGGTACATGTTGGAACAGAATGTGTGCTGTCAGATGTCAGCCGTTATATATATGTCAGATATATGTATTTAAAGCTCTCCAGCTACAGTAATCCTCTCCTTCCTCTCAGTGAAGTGTGTCAGCCTCTTTGTTCTTGATCCGGGGGAGTGTGTGAACTATCTCAGCCCTCACACTGTAGATAACACAAGGCCGCTGATCGTATGTAATTGTGAAGGTTTAACACAAAAGCCAGATGGAGATAAAGAGAGAGCTCGAAGGAGAGAACCTGAAGGTCTGACGGACAGGTGTTTTTGTGTGGTGTGAAATTAAAGTCTCTCTTTCTTCGATGTTTAAGATTAAGTCTTTGAATCCCAGGATGATGCTTGCTCGTGCCTATGGGCTGTGTACAGAGCGCGAGCAACAGGACGCTGCCTGCAGTTCACTAAATGGCCACTAAACGGTATTCCCTGATGGCCTCTTTCAGCAGGATAATGCGCCACAAAGCAGAAATGGTTTGGGAATGGTTTGAGAAACACAACAAGGTGTTGACTTGTGGGGCCTCCATGGATTGGACTTGTTTATCCAGCACATTCCAATCCCAATCTGGAGGCCCCACCTCACAATTTACAGGATTTAAAGGATCTGCTGCTAACGTGTTGGTGCCAGATACCACAGCACACCTTTAGAGGTCTGGTGGAGCCTCGATGGGTCAGGGCTGCAAATAGGAGGACGTACACAATATTAGGCAGGTGGTCATAATGTTATGGCTGATCGGTGTACAGTAGAAGCTTTATTGATGGCAGATGCAGTTTCTGGGTCATGATGGTTATGAAATAAGAGAATGAAGCTATGATGCAACCTAGTTCCTGTTCTTCACTTCCTCCTCCTGCAGGCCGACGTCTCCCAGCTGATCCTGTCTGACCTGATCTGTTGGTGAATCAATGACTCTGACAGACAGGAAACAGTCTGAGCGAGTACAATGCTGACTCTCCTGCTGTGACGCCGCAGGGTTTCCCGCTCTCTCGGTCAACATGACTCATCAGACAGCAACTGTTCAGCGCAGTCACTGCGACCGTCTGTAGCTCAGCAGGTTTGTGGAGTTTCCTCGTCCACAAACAGTGATATCTGTGTTCATGTCATGTCATGAGTTTGTCAGATCTGATCATTAGCATTACCAAAACTACTTCATAAAGCTGCCTGTATATTCAGAAAAATGTCACATAAGAATGAAACAGCCAGATCAGGTTGGTTAAAAGGAGATCTATTCTCACTGTCTGTCATACACAAAATGTTACAATGTGGGATGTTTATATTAAATGAGGGGTAAAGAATAATGTAAATATCTAAAAAAAAGCTCAGAATTTAAACTGCTCTGAATGTTTACAACCTTTTTATCTACTTGAGACTGAGCACACTCTCTACTGTCTATAGGCCTAATTTTTGCCCAAAATAAACCGATTTTAATGTGATTTAATGTCAATAAACGGATCAAAAGGATGCTGAAAAAACTACATTATGATAGTATGATTTGAGTCTCAGTTCATACTTTGTCAGGTCTGTGCAAAAGACGACGAGCAAACAACTTTTAAATGGCTTATTTTGTGAATGGAGTTTGGTAGATTAGAGCTATGCTAACTCAGGAGTCAGGACGAACCCTTCTGTCCGTAGAAAGTGCTTTTTCTGTTGGGAAGAAAATTACACATTTTCTGCTTTTTCCTC